TTGACTCAGCCTTCCATCCTTTCTAAGGTAGGTGAAATGAGGACCCAGTTTGTGGGGGCAATAAGCTGACTTTGTATAAAATATACAAAAGGACGAAGGCTATTGCTTAGCGCATTGTAAGCCGCCCTGAGTCTCCAAAGAAGGGCGGCATATAAATCAATTTTTTTAAAAAATGAATGGAAAAACCTTTCTGGCACTTCTTTACGAAGCCTCTATTCATCCTTTCAACTGGCAAACGGAGCTGGATTATTTGGGGGGGGGGGGAGAGAGAGACCTGTTAGCCGCAGCCATTGATAGGCTCTCTTTACACAGTAAAGGCAATGCGAGCACGCAATATACGAAATAGATTCTGACTCATCAAATGAAGCAAGAAAATGTACCCTTGTATTTTTTTTAAAAAAAAAACAAACTTCTGCCCTTTCGTTTTCAGTATAAAAATCTTCCTCAGGCTCCCTTTTTTTGTCCCCGTATTCAGAGAAACCTCCCAGCCCGCGCCCGTTACCAGAGGAAAACGAGCAATATTCTAAGTTCCGTTTTCACACTCTCCTCCTTTAATGGGAAAAGGAAGGAAGGAAGGAAGGAGGGAGGGAGGAAAAGGGCGGGAAAAGCGGAAGAAGGGAAAGAGCCGCTACCACCCTCGGCTGCACAGCCAGGAACTGTTTTGTTTGCCTAACCCTGAAGGTCGCCGAGCGGAGACCATCTTAGAAAAAAGCAGCCGGGGAGAAACGAAAGGCGGGAACGAAAGGGAGCCAACCTCTAGTACGACACCCCCCCCGCTCCCACTCCTTACCCCACTATCGAGGGCAGCAACGCGCCTCTCCCTCCTCTCCCTGCTCCTTCTGCCGGCCACTTCTACCGCTTCGCGAGTTCCGGGTGATTAGAACGCATGCGCAACAGCCCCCCCCCCCGTGCACGCACGGATCCGACTCTTTTAGACTCTCTTCCGTCGGCCGTTCTACGGATCCATGCGAGGGACATTTTGGGAGCGGTTAAAGCGGCGGGAATAGAACGTGGAAGGAAGCGGTCTTGATGAGTCAGTTCTTCTCTCGATGCGAATCCTTCGCTCTGCCTGGGCTGCTGTTGCTGAAAGGAGCGTGCGCGCTGCCGTAAGCGGCTGTCCCCGCTGAAAAAGGCTGTCGTGGTTGACAGTTTGCAGCAGCTGCTTTATTACTCTTATGCCATTACTGCAAATTAACGCGATAAGCGACACAGAATAACTATTGGAACATTGCATCGTAGTTAATAAAGTCAAAAATATGGAAAGTTTTAACTATATAACTATTGCTTAAGTTACTATTGCATTGTAAGCCGCCCTGAGTCTCCGGAAAAGGGCAGCATATAAATCGAACTAATAAATAAATAAATAAGTAACTAACTAACTAACGAACGAACGAACTAACTAACTAACTAACTAACCAGGAGGCGTAGAAACTGACAGATGAAACAAGAATGTTTATTTTACAGCACTTTCCTAAATTACGAAGAAAGTGGAAAAAGAACAAGCTGTACTAACTGCTCTTTCCTTTCTCTGGCTATAATGCATTAGATGTGATTGTCAGGGCTCAACAGAAGAATCACACACTTATAAATAAGAGGAAAATTAAAATCACTCTAATTTTCTGTATCCTTTATCCTTACTTTATGCTTCAACAGTCTTGGATGTACCAAAATCATCATCGTCATTTTAGCTATTGTCTAGCCACTGCAGGATGAAGGTTTCTTCCTCATGTTTCCAACCAATATGGTCCTGAGCTTTCTTTTGCCAATGGGGCCTGCAATACTTGCTGTTATTATCGAAAGTAATTACTAAGTACCAAAGTAATTAATAATAAATACTGTTGTCAAGAATTCCTAAGTATCATCTCTTTTCATCTGTTGTTATAATGAATTAGTGACTAATATCCAATGCCTAGAGAAGTTAAACTGGTGGGTTGCTTGAGATAATATCTTTGTGGAGCACTGTGCTGAAAGATGTGTGCAACGTATGCAGATTTAGACTTTAGACTGAATCGTGTGGTTTACAGCAATGGCAACTACACCAACCAATCACCAAGCTTCACTGAAACAGTGAGTAGCTTTTGCCTTTTAGGATTTGCTAACAATAGTAAAGGAACCAATTTTCAAGAAATATACCACAGGCTAACACTTGATGAAATAACAATGAAAGCCTTGAAAAAGGCTACACAAATCAAGACTTGTCCAGGTAATGGTTTTCCCTATGAAACTCTATGGAAGCAAAATTTTAAGTTTTTAAGTTTTTTTTTAAATTTAAGCTTTAAATTTTAAGTTCTCATTTGAGGTACAAATGATCATGCTCAAGTTCCGTTATTTTGGATACATATGAAGACCCTTGAAAAGTCCATAATGTCAGAAAGAAAAGAAGAGGACAACTTGCACCTATGTGGTTGGCCTCAGTTACAGTGATAATGGATGCATCAGTGGAACACTTAAAGGACCAAGTTAAGAACAGATCATGGAGAAGTTATAAATGCATGGTTGCAAAGAGTTAATGCCATCTTGATAGCACATAATTAAAAATTAAACAATAAATCCAGCCCTTAAAATTTATAAACATGTGAAACTAATTGTGGTTTATCCAAGTAAACACAGATAACAAAACCATGCCTTAGAGAGATATGTGAACTAACAAAATCTCACATATCCTAAATAGAATCTAACTATAACCAGCCAGATTCAATTATGTCTACTTTCACTAGAAATGACCAAATGACCAAATCTGTCATCCGCCCAAAAAGAGGCAGTTTATCATATAGAACCCCAAAGTATTCCAAACCAGTACATTTTTAGATAATTGTTCAATTTTTAAAAAGGCTTTTGTACATTTACTACTTATATAGAGTGGGAATTTCAGCTTACATGGCAAGCTGTTAGACACAGAAGTTTTGTCCTCTTATACATCTGGCCAACTATAGCATTTATTGGAAATCCATTAATTAGAGGAAAAAATCTTGGGAGTTTTCCCTATCCACAAATTCTCCAAATTCTTTTGCTTTACACTTCTCATTTGTGATATAGTTGTAAATAGTTGTATATAGCAGGTGATATAGTTATGATATAATTATAGCAGGTGATGGTATCTAGCCACTCTTAATTGTTCTAGTAAAAGCTTGACAGAGTGGTCCTGATTAGTACCCAGATGGGAACTCACCAAGGAAGCCCCAAGTGTAAAGGAGTAAGGAGCTTCTTTCTTGGAGAAGGAATGCAAGAATGGTTAAATTAAAAAGGGGGAGGAAGAGACAGTAAAAATGAACCTCAAGATAAACCTGCTTTCATTCTCTAAACCATAAATAGGGACAGCGGGAATTTTTTACCAGATTTTCTAAATGCTGTTATGTATCTTATACTATTTGATTTCCAGTAATACTTGAGCAAATGGAGCAGGCAAACCAAATATAGAACTGTATTTGACATGCTGTATCTCTTATCAGAACAATTGACTTAACTATTGCCTGTTATTTTGCTTACTGGAACCCCAGCTTTTGTTCTTTGTACTTTGGACTTTATGCAAAGAGACAGGCACTTATCTTTCAGGAGCATTTATATTTGCCAAAATCTGCATGCAAGTAGGCAACAGACACATATAAGAAAGCATATCAAAATTGCAGGGGAGGGGGATATTTGGTGTGGCTTTCCACTACATTTTTATTTTCAACCCATCCATCTAAAAGCTGGACTCCAGATTTTGATTCCTTTTGTTACCTAGTAAACTAATTCCGTTGTCTTTGTCATTGCCAGCTTCTGTGGATTCATCTGGTCTTCCATCAGGCGCTGCTTGCTTATGAGGAGCCCCCATGCCCCTTGCATTCCAAAACTGTCCCTTTCTATTCTCCCGACATCCTGATGGACAGGAGAGAAGAATATGAAGTGGAATGTATTCTGCAGATGTTTTGAATATCTTATTCAGTAGCCTGAATCTAAAAGGTCATGGGAAAGTACAACAGATGTCCGCACTCCATATCTTGTACATTGGTTTCCTCCGAATTTTTTCCATACAGCCCTTCCCTGTAATCTGCCACTACTATAAATGACGGGGGGGGGGGGGGAGATTTTCCAGCTCTGTGTGGCAAGTTTTCTTTACTGACCTGTAATAACGCTGGTGGGGGGGGAGGCTGTCAAGCAAGCAGGAGTAGGTGGGGAGCAAGTCTATAGTTGGTTCCCATAGCAACTTTGCAGTGTCATTTTCATGTGCAGAAGAAGAGAGGGAATCTAACCAGGGAGATGGTGTGGAAGAATAAGTAGCTAAACTTGAGGAAATGCAAGAATATCAACAGATCTGGAAAGGAAGAGGCAGTGCAAAAGAAACTCAGGAATAACGCTGCCTTGATTTTTTTTGCTTTAAGAGGGGGCGGAAGAGATGCTATAAAGCAGAAGTCTTCAAACTTGGCAGCTTTAAGACTTATGGACTTCAACTCCCTAAGCTTTCTATGCAGCTATGCTGGCTGGAGAATTCTGGGAGTTGAAGTCCACAAGACTTAAAGCTGCCAAATTTGAAGACCTCTGCTATAAAGCTTTCAAAATTCTGCTGAATCATAGAGTTCTTATGGTATCTGTTTCTTGACTTGATTTATCTTGAAGGACTGACACCAAAGTTGTAGAAGCTGAAGACTGAAAAGCAAACTGGGGGTAACAGTGAACCACTTCTACATTCTTGCCAAGGAAACAGCAGAGATACATCCATGCAGTGATCAGAAGTAGACTTGACATGGAGACTTTACCTATTACCTATAGATTACACTTCTCGTCTCACGCTACATTTAAGCATGAGCCAGGCAAAATCCCCCTCCTAGATCTCAACCGATCTCCATTTCCTCCTCTACTATGAAATTATTTCTTTTAATATGCATGCTGTTAACATCACAGATCATTGCAATCGGTTACTCGTTTCCAGTCTGTAATTATTTATCATATTTCTTCATTGGCACTCTCCCAGAGGACTCATGGCAGTTATTGGTCAAAGAAGAATATTTAAGACACAAAGGTTTGTGCACAAAATGATACATTTATTGAAAGATTATTTTTTTTAATACAAAAGAAAGCTCTGTACATAGTACTGCGATTACTGTCACATCCTTCCAGAAACACAACCCTGGAAATTAACAAACCACACACACACAGCCACTCACACACGCACATACACACGCGCACACATGCGCACGCACGTGCACACAAAAAAAAAATCCAAAAACAATCGGTAAAGTGAACTAAAAATGTCACCACACAATAAATGCCATTTCATCCCTGATAAGTGTTCTTACAATTCAACACTTTAATCACATGCAACATTAGCGTTTAACCTGCAGGTACTTTTTCTGTAGGAGGGAGAACTTCCTTGAGGTGAAGGATGAGTATCAAGTGTAGAATCCCCAATCATAAAATTAGTACAGTATCATAAAAAATAGATAATTCTTGATTTTAGCCTCTCAAGACTATTTCAGCAGAGGATTTTTGAATTAGCAACATGATTCGAGAATTACTGTTTTGCAGGTGTGCCTTTATCCCGAGCAACTTCCTAGTAACAGCCGAGGAATTCCTTCTTGGAGAAAAAAAAAATCTACATACAGAAAAACAGCTATCAATTAGTGGTGGGTTGCCCCCGGTTTGGACCGGTTCACAAGAACCGGTAGTAAAACCGGCAAGAGGCTCCGCCCACTGACCCGGACGTCATCATTGGTGATTGCATCAGTGGTGGGTTTCAAATTTTTTTACTACCGGTTCTGTGGGCGTGGCTTGGTGGGCGTGGCATGGCATGGCTTGGTGGGCATGGCAGGGAAAGGATACTGTAAAATATCCATTCCCTCCCCACTCCAGGGGAAAGTTACTGCACAATTCCCATTTCCTCCTGATCAGCTGGGAATTGTGAGGCAGAGAATAGAGGCGGGCAGGGCCAGAAAGAATTTTTACTACTGGTTCTCCGAACTACTCAAAAGTTCTGCTACCGGTTCTCCAGAACTGATCAGAACCTGCTGCAACCCATCTCTGGATTTCATGCACAGAAGAGCATGTGTGGGTAATGATGTGAACCGGTAGTAAAGGTAAGTAGAACCCACCCCTGCTATTAATGTATAGATAAAGTTCCATTTGCATGGCAAATCTTTCAATACTCCATATCAGAATTAGGGGAAAAACAGGGGTTGTTGAAGATTATTCCGCTGACAAATGTTTTCATCAGTGGGTAGATATCACTGTATATAAACCATTGTTCCATTATTGCTGGCAATGGAAGAAGACAGTTAACCAAGCAACTTTTTTGCCATAAGGTGTATCTGTTTTGGGCTAGAGGGCAAAGAATAATCGTTCAGCTGCCTTGACTGCCTTTCTTTCTCATGTCACTGATCTAATGGAGATGTTTAAAAACCTGCATTTTAATTAAAAAAGGAATGAGGGTTAAAACAAAGGGATACTTTTGCACCAGTCTTGGAAACTTCACTACTGAAGTTAGTGCTGGAGAACTACCAGTAAATTTAGATTGGTTGTAATATACATTTAAAACAAAAGAACTGAATACACCATTTCCTTTCAAACTGCAACTAGTTCGAGAAATATACTTTTCAATGTTTTCCGACATTTAAAACCAAAACAAACAATAAATGTAACCCATCAGAGAAGGTTTTAAACAAATTACCCTAACATTCTCTTTGAATCAGATTTGAGCCAGATTTGATGGAGCTTGAGTATATTTTCATAATGTGGCCATGTGAGCTGAAGATGCAAACAACAGTAGTACACAACTTCAGTTTGGCTTGAATGGCCATCCCAGGTTTTGTGTGGCTTATTGATCTCTGCATCCCAAAGTGGAAGGGGCATGGCCCATTTTAGAAATGGGTGCAAGGTTTTTAAAGATGGCAAATGGATGCCTTAAGTATCCATAAGGATAAAAATCTCTACTTTGCTTCAAGACCAGACAAAAGGACCGACACGTTGGTTCCATCTATTCCAAGTGTGACTCTGGCACTACAAAGGGAATGCTGATGCAGTTGCATGTGGCTTCCAGGTAGTACTTTTTGCACAGCTAGTAAAAGCCCTCTCCTCCCCACTGGTGCAACCTTTCCACCAAAGCATGATTCAAGTGCTAGGGACAGAGACATGTTTAAACGCTAATGTTCATGGAAACAATTTCAGAATATTACAATACAAATTTAAAAGGGCCCTTTCTTCTCCTTTTTTTCATCGCTGCCCCATCCATGGCCCATTTCCCCCCCACCCCAACTACAAACCCCATGAAAACTGTACAGGAGCCAGACTTTAATTCCTTTAAGAATTACATAAATACTGAGTTTAACACTTAGAAAAATAAAGTCTTTTTTTTTCAAGGCTTCTTTTGTCTTTTAATTAAAAAAAAAGAAAGAAAGGAGTTACAATAGCTGCTTTCTTTCTCTAAAAGTCTGCAGCCTCCTTAATCCAAAGCTGGCCCTTTTTTTTTGGGACGGGCGGGGGGGGAGTGTTTATAAGAACCACTGACCTGTTCTGGGCTGAATGAAATGCATGATTGTGTGCAAACAAATGATCCAATAACCCAGCCCTTCCTCTCTATTCCACATCTCTTTCCATTCTCCATTATAGACTAGCAGTCCTCCTGCAGCTTCCCCTTTTAAATGTGTTACGATATATATTCATTCCAGAACCTCCTGTTTGAAGCGTCATAAATTTTTTTCTAAAGAACGTGGACACAGCAGTGGCTTCACAAAGAAATGGGAAGAACCTTTATCACAAATGGTTAAGCGTGCCCCATCCCATCTACCCATTCCCAGGCTGTAGGTCTCACAGGTGCAGGCCAAACATGCTTCATGATGGTGGCGCAACATACCATCTCATTTCCAGGGCTATCTGAGAAGCAAATAAATGCCACAGGCTATGTTACATCATTGTATCCCAGACTGGTTATAGTTCATTTCTGGATGTAATTGCCTTGGGAAACCCTGCTGAGTTAAGTTTAAATACTTTTTCTTAAACAACCCTTATTTGTTTCAACTTCATTCCTTAGCACTAGCCTTCATCAACCTTTTTCAATCTTTTAGTCGACAATTCCCAGCATTGCCAAAAGCTAGTGGATATGGAGTTTGGAACCCAATACATCTTGGAGAGCACCAGTGGGGAAGGCTGTTTTATACCTTCCAAAATTAAAATAATAATTATTATTATTATAACATGACTGTAGCTCTTCCTTCTCAGGAAGAAAAAAAAATCAGCAAAACTCAAGCATTACACAAAATGAAGCCTGCTACTGGGCTTATGAGTTGCTGAGTGTGTTTCCAAGAAAAAAGGGAGATGGGTAAACAATTCTTGTTTGGGCTGTAAGATGTGTATACAGCCAGACTAAATGGGCAAGAAGCTGCTCCAAGTCAGTTCCTATGCAACAAAAAAAGAGATTCCAAGGGAGGGATACTTTAAGGGTAAAAGGAAATCCAAGATGCTCAGTTGCTCCAGCTGGAATGCCAACAGGAAGAACCCTCTCTTTGCCAGCCAAGAATAAAGGCAAGCCAACCCACAATGCATCATGGATTGCTTGAAGGCACAAAGCTGCAGCCAGGAAGTGACCTGAACTGGAATGGGGGAGGGGAAAGTGGTGACTGTCCCAGCTCTGTGTGTGTGTGTGTGTGTGTGTGTGTGTGTGTGTGTGTGTGTGTGTGTGTAAGGATATCAGGGCTATGCCTGAAAAGAGACTACCTTTTTTCAGAATGGCTTCGCAGCCTTCTGGACTGCAGCTTCTTCCCACAGCCTCAATTGCTCTGCCTAGAGGTTACAAACTAAGGACATTCAAGGACATTCTTATGTATCAGAAGCAGCAAGGCAAAGAGAGAGAAAAGTTCCCTCCCTGGCAATGGAAACAGAGGGAAGGTTTTATACATGGCAGAGCGAATTCTCCCACTCATGAGAGAAAGTTTCTTTGGCTGGAACAAGAAGGAAAACAAAACAACAAACAAAAAGAACAGTAAATGCAGTGTAACAAAGTCCCCCTACAGCCCAGGCTCAGCTTCCTGCTGCTGGCCTTGCAGCCACTTTTAATATGTATCTATGTACTTCTGTGGGTGCTTTTGTGGATGGGGGTGTCAGTGTAAAGTGTGAGAAGAAAACGTGTAAAAGGCAACAATAAATAAGTGATGGAGTCCATACAAAAATAGGGACTGCCGAGATCCTTGTGCAGCTTGAGGAGTGCCATAGATCCAGGGCCAGATGCAGCATAAAGCTGGGAGGCGTAGGCGGTGGCATCTGCTGGTTCATGTTGGGGTGCTGGGTACACACGTCTTCCCTTCCCCTCACCAGGTCCCTCCCAAAGTTGCTCAGTCACTCTTGGAACTATGTGATGCCTCCAAGTTGACCACCTGCAGCTCTGTCAAGTTGGCAGTGCTGCTGCTCTGCTGACCAATGACGGCCATCTGCAGAAAGAAAAGAAGCAATGAAAGAAACAGTCCCTTATGGGCGAACACCAAACATTGCTCTGGGTCTCACATAGGTGTAATCCCAGCTTACTTTCTCCACTTACATTTCAAAACTATCTTTTAGAATTTCAAGGCATACGAAAACCTCACTGTACATATCACAATTATTAAAAGTCAGTGACAATTATTAAAAGCAAAATGACACCAGTGCACAAAAGCCATGTTTATATATTCAATGAGCAGCATATGCCACGCAAGCTCAGAGGTTCAGTATATATTTGATTGGAGCTGCTGTTAATAAACTGACATAGCAGTCACATGTTTTAAACTGGGGTGTTAAACTCACGTCACGTTATGTATGGCAACTTTCCCCCCCTTCGCTAAGCCAGGGGTGGGCGTGGCCAGCGCATGACGCATCTGGCCCACAGCCAGTGAGTTTGACACCCGTTTTAACTGAACGTTTGACACCCCTGTTTAATTGAACACAACACTTCTGTAAATGGAACATGAAATATGAAATCTTCATGTCTTAAACAACTATGGGGAAAAAATCAGATGCTGCAAAATAATTGCAACCATAATTACAATTAATTTTTATATCATACTTACTCCTCCTGCAAGTGTATCTCATTTTCAGTAAAATGACTGCAGTCTCAGAGTAAAAGTTGAAAAGAAAAATACAAGGTTGTTTGGAACCTACCTGGTGAAGCTGAACAGCTGAGACTGGGATCTGAACTGTTCCTGACGGAGCTGTCAGGAATACCTGAGGGACTCCACCTGCCAGAGAAAGTGACAGATGTATACTAGTCATTCTCCAAAATTAGCCTCGATCACTCTAGATTATGCGGGCATAATCACAGTAGGAAATTAAAAAATGAACTACTGCTATCAAAACCAAATAACTCACAAAGCAAGCTATGTTTTTATAGAACAAAAAAAATAGCCTATAGATAAACTGAATTCACATATGCTATATCATAATATGCTTGGCTTACTCTGTTATGTGAACCCAGCCATTGTGGTTTGTAAAACAAGATTTCTAGTGTTGCATATTGTAGATCTATCTAGACAATTGGAATTAATTCAATATATGAAGTTTAAATAATTCATGCATTAATATACTATGTGATCCTCCCCTTTCATATAAAAACCTCACTAAGAGAATAGACTCTGAAGTGATTTGGGAATCATTTTTTATCTCCCTCCTTTATAATGTATATCCCAGCAGCCTATGCAATGACCAGCATCTCCTTTTTGGGCCTCAAAGAGTTGTGATTTTTACAAAAATTGGAGTAGGAAGCCATTGTAACAGCCATAAACAGGATAAGGAAGCTTCAATCAAATGCTTCTCCTGAATTACTACCTAAAACCGAAAGCCACTGTGTACATAATCTGCATGTGAATCGTCTCTCAGATCACATCCCTTATTCATCTGTGTTAAACTTTAAGCAGGCTAACTAAAAGAATCCTCTTTCTTGATTTCCTTCCTTGTTTCTACTTTGATTTTAGCAAATTTGTTCCTAAAATAGAGAAGAGAGCAAGGTCTGTTTCTAGGCTCAGTAAAATATTATTTTGAATAAACAATGCTATTATACAGGCAATGCATCTCAAACATCTATTTTCTTGAGTTCATGTGGCTATTGTGGCAGCTAAGGAAAAAAAATATGGATACTGTATCTCACAGATACAGTAAGGTACTCATGTTGAACTGGAACTGGAAACACTCTGCTGGTTGAGAAGCAAATGCTGCTTTATGCTATGTATATGTATAGCTAGAGAAAGAGAAATCAGATGGGCAGTAGGCAATATAGGTTGTTCAAACATCAAACTTATCCGGGTCCAGTCTTACCCTGATCCTGGACTTGCCCATGTGAAACCTGCATTGCTGATGGGGCCTGGGAGAAGGCATTGAGAACCGCAAGGCCACCATCCGTGAGGCCCGATGTAGGAGCATACATCACTGCATGAGAACTGGGATACATCATATGGCCTCCCACAGTGGTTGGCACAGATGAAGTCATGATTGTAGCTGGCAGGGTCACTGGCAAAACAAAAGAAAAGACACAACTGAAATATCTGGATGCTACATTGGTTTCCCTCCATTGTCTTACCTGCAGAAGCAAGACCTCTTCACGCTTCCATCAGGTGTGTGCACAGTCACAGGGTAAAACCTACTCTAGAGGATCTCTGAACCATTTGCTGCAGTCTGAATCCTACGGCCAGGAGATAAAATTGTCCAAAGGCTTCTTAACGCATGACAGAATACAAATTCTACAGTTGTTTAATGTATCTGAAAAGATGTGATGTATGCCTGAAAATCAGGCTGCTCCCTCATATTCCCAGATCAGATCTCTTTTCCTTTATTGAGAGGGAAGGGTGGGGATGAAGCTATTTTTTAGTGGAACCAAAAAAATTTTTTTTAAAAAAAAGAACATACTATTTTTAGACACGGATAGAAAATTGTTTCTAAAAACAAGTATCAATGTATAAAATATACAATGAGGATCCAGAGCTTTGATGCTGCTCGGAAAGCAGGGTTAGAACAGCCCCATCCTCTCCTTAATTAGAGAGTTTGTTCCATAAAACAGACCAGAGGTGAAGCATGTGTATGATGAAAAAAGAAGTCGTCAGGAAGTCAGCAGAGAAGGGGGAAAGAAACTTCCAACACAAACAACAAACCTTGGGAGAGAGGAAGAGAGAGAGTGCTGAGGGGGAGAGAAAAGCCTCCATTCACAAATCTGTAGGAGAAGAGTAAAAACAGGTTTTACATGCAAAAGGACTGAGACTGGCTACAAGAACTGAGGACCTGGGAAATAAAAACAACTTAAAAAAATTAATGTAGAAAAATAGCACTACCAATTAAGATTAGAAATAAGGAACCGGACTTTAATTTTGTATAATAAAATAGTTTTAGAGGAAAAATCAAATACAGTCTTTGTGATTGTATCAGATTAAGAAAAACCATATAGGAACATATATTTTTCTTAATCTGCACCAGATTAAGAAAAACCAATCATATAGGAACATCAACACCCAATTGGGGTGGTCTGTTCTTGGTTATTCCTGGTTAATGTTGGATGAGAGACCACTAGAAACCTCAGGACAATAGATTATACTGAAAAGTTAAAACATCAATACCCAAATGACATCCTGGAGGAATAACAAATAACTTCCATGTTGTTGCTGTGAAAACTGCACACATGTCCATAAAGTCCCCAGTAATCAAGTCTGACACAAAATATACTGGTACTTTGGTTTATTTAGCCTTGTAAAATAATTTTCATTAAAAAAAAAAAAAGAAATATTTTTGGAATATATTTTTATTAGTCTCACTAGATGGCACTAAAGTTGTATGCTTTTTTTTTTTTTTTTTTGCAGATTTATCAGTATTAATTAGTCAAGGAATTACTGACCTAAAAGATCCTAATCACACAGATAATAATAAACTTTGGCTCAAGACAAGAATTAATGTAGAATAAATGCCTATTACTGTAAGAACAATAAGATTAAATAGCACATTCTGCAGAATATCCCTACTTTGCCCTACCAGGAGCAGGGAGAAAACAGCATCTTATTATATAATTGGAAGAGATGCATCAAGTACGATAACCAGGATAACCTGCTCTTCAGCCTCAAGCAAAGGAGAGCCATTCATTTCCTAGATTCCATCATCAAACCATATTAGGAGTTATCTGCTATCTTGAAATTTTGACTCACTGATTACAGATCTGCCTTTTGCCCCAAAAGACAGGAAGTCTGGTCTTCTTTCTAAGAATTAGGAAATGCTAATGACATATTGTCTTAAGCATACATGGGAACTGAGCAAATGTGATTGACACCAGGGCAATTTTGATCCAACTCATTTTATTACTAAAATGTAGTTTTAAAATAGCAACATACTATTGCTATTGGTCTTCTCATCATGCCTGTCACCCATCTCCTCCCACTTGTGACTGCATGACTGTAACTTTGTTGCTTGTATCCTTGCGATTGATATTATTTCCTAGTATGATTTAATTGCTTATTGTACCCTATGACTGTCAATGGGTGTTGTGCCTTGTGATTCTTAACGAGTGTGTCTTGTCTTTTTATGTACACTGAGAGCATATGCACCAAAGACAAATTCCTTGTGTGTCCAATCACACTTGGCCAATAAAGAATTCTATTCTATTCTATTCTATTACTGTGTGACAATGGGGGGATGGCATAGAGAGTTTTTTTAAAAAACATGCATATATGTGCTTAGTCCATTGGAGGCTTTGCTCATTTTGTCTCTAAATTTTTCTGCAAAAACTCAGCAGAAAATTACACCACTGTTACATGGCAACAATTCAGAGTTACAATGGCACTAAATGAGGAGGACTTATAACCGACCTCTAAACTGTAGTTGTTGCAGTATCCCCACAGTCACATAATCACAATTTGGGTGCTTGGCAACCAACTCACAATTACAATACTCGCAGTGTTCTGTGATCAAGTGATTGCCATTTGTGACCTTCCCTGCTGGCTTCCCCCAAGCAAAGTCAATGAGGAAACTAGCAGGATGTTCCAAGTCACTCCAGCAAGTATTTCCCACTCCTGCCACTTTTTCAGTTGCCTACCCAGGCTCTGCATAGCCATGCTCCACAGCGCCTACCCACAGTAGCTGCCTGACCTTATTATTATTATTATTATTATTATTATTATTATTATTATTATTATTATTTTATTTCTATACCGCCCTTCTCCTGCGGGACTCAGGGCGGTGTACAGCCAAGATAAAACATTGCATATAGAATTTAAAAACAATTTAAAAAACAATTAAATAATTTCGGCCCAAGATATTAAAAACAACCCAATTAAAACCAAATTCAATTAAAACTGAGAGGATGGGATCAAGCCAGCCCAGCTAGATGGAATAGGTGTGTTTTCAGGGCCCGACGAAAAGTCCGGAGGTCTGATATCGTGCGTATCTCAGGGGGTAGGTCATTCCAGAGGGCGGGTGCTGCCACAGAGAAGGCTCTCCCCCTGGGGGTCGCCAGCTGACACTGTCTGGCCGACGGCACCCTGAGGAGGCCCTCTCTGTGCGAGCGAACCGGTCGGTGGGAGGCTATTGGCGGCAGAAGGCAGTCTCGCAGATAACCCAGCCCTAAGCCATGGAGTGCTTTAAAGGTGGTCACCAACACCTTGAAGCGCACCCGGAAGACCACAGGAAGCCAGTGCAGCTCGCGCAGGAGAGGTGTCATATGTGAGCGCCCCGTCGCTCCCATAATCCCCCGCGCGGCCGCATTCTGGACTAACTGTAGCCTCCGGGTGCACCCCAAGGGGAGCCCCATGTAGCTCTTACCTACTGGCCTGCTTGCCTGGAACTCCCACTTCTTCCCATGTCAGAGGTCACATGAGCTCCTTGCTTAAGGACCCACATGATCCTGAGGTTACGACTGCAGCATCACTAAGTAATGCAGTCATGTGAGCTCCTTGCTTAATGAGCCACAAAGTCCTGGGGTTACAACAGCAACCAGAATTGCTGTCACTAAGCAATGTTGTCATGTCACATCACTCTTTGTAACTGTATTACTTAGTGATGGAAATTCAAGCCCCAGTTGCCATCGTAACCCAGGAACTACTTGCATTGAACTTCTTGATGTTGAGTTCTGGTGGACAACCCTGAAGCGCTCCTGACCTTTGGCTGCAGAGTGAGAGTTAGGGGTGATTGGTTGCCTACCTGTCCCACTGGAAGAGGTCTGTGTGACATCAGTGCTGTTGTCGCTTGTAGGAGACGTTTGCTGGGGGGCCTGATGCACCTGGATGGCTTGCACAGGAACCTGTTGAGCCACTGCACCACCTGGGAAGCAAGACAAGCTGTTCTTAGCATCTGCTGTTGCTTGAACCCTTTGATTGTAGTTGACAAGATATGTTAGATGCTTTTTCAAAATAATTACAGCAACATGCTATCCCTCCACATTGTTACAGCAGTTTTTTCAAAGTTATTTTTAAGAAATTGTTCAAATGATATTGCCTTCAACCACAGCACTCTTAGATGTTAGAAGCCAATGAGGGAGGAATTAAGTCAGACAATATAAATAGGATGAGCTGTAGAAATTTCTATATTTGAAATAAAGCACTGTACAAGAAGTGATGACTTTTGTTATTTAGGATCATGCCATATCTAATAAGTCAGTAACGTAAGACAATTCCAAGAAATATGGATATATATCAAAAACTAATCTCAAAATCATCACAAACAAGAAAAAGCAGTTTTTTAACAATACTCTCATACAAACATTTAGATACAATGAAAGCAATTTGTTTGTTTGTTTGTTTGTTTGGTTATCAATCACATTTAGAAACTGCCCATCTCCCTCACAGAGGGACTTTTTAAAATACACAGCAGTGTGATGTAATGCTTAAGAGGCTGGATTGGCAGCCTTCAGCATGGAAGTTCATTGGATGAACTTCTAAACTCTAGACACTCTCATTTAGCCAGACCTACCTCACTGGGTTGTTGTCATAGGGCAAAATGGGAAGAGGGAACACTATTAATACTTCCTTAAGCTCCTGAACAACAAATGGGAAATAAATTTAATTAAAAAAAAACTTCCACAAAGAAAGGGGGATCTGTGAGGGAGATGGGCAGTTTCTAAATATTGGGAAGTTACATTTCCCCAACCTGATGCCGTTTAGAAATACTGGACATATAATTACCATTAACTATAACTTTCAGGTCCCAGCAAATAAGGCTATGACTTTCCTGGATGAATATTTTAGTTAGGAGACTTCTAGCAAGCACCATGTAACATTAAGAACTGTTCCGAAAAGATTCAACCAGATTTTGGGAAAAGCCACCCAAAAAGTATAAAGAAAGCTACCATCGCTTGCACCTGAGCAATTCAGAATTGCAAAGCTGTAGTACCCATGAACAGAAAGGATCTATTGGGCTGCACTGAATAATTCTTTCCATAAATTTATTTGTATCATTAATTCTATAATGTACATGTATGTAACTTTGTGTTTGTCTCTAGGTAGATTTACATATAGCGAGAGAGAGTTTATTTATATGCTAATTATAAATATATAATTATATTTTGTGTGAGGAAGCAGTATTACATAGGAATAAGTCAAAATTGGAATATGATAACAGGCCCTCTTTTTTTTTTTTTTTGCATCAACATGCTTTCTCATCTTTTTCTAATCCATTTAGAGCACAAATATAGCTAAAATAATATTTATACCCCCCCCACCAGCCTATCCAAAGGGATTTTTCTGTCTACCAGCATCCAAAATAATGTGCAGAAAAATATAAGGTGAAGAGGAAAGAGCCTCCTAGTAAAGCATTTGGTTAGCTGTTGCCATCATGGGTTTCTACTCTTTCCCAGCAAGGACATGCAGATCTAAATTTCCAGGTTTAAGTGTCTACATCTCTGGCTACATCATTTCCCTTCTCTTTACATATTTATCAATTTCAGTCCAAGTCTTCCATCAACTGTAGCCTTTATATTACCCACTATTATCAACCTATAAAACAGCTTTAAAGACAAATATACCATGTTCACCGAAAGATGGGGGTCTCTTTTGCTCTCTTACTCTTTCTTCCCTTTAAGAAAAAAAGATCTGATAAATACAAATAGGGCTGTCAACTGGATGCCTCCTACAGTGCGCAAATATCAGCAAATCACACAAGGTTTAATCAAATTTCTGGCATCTTGTGCAAAAATAGTGTCCCAACCTGGCAGCAGCACCTGGTTAACTTTGGATATGATTTGGATAAGCTAAGTAGGGTCATCTGATTTGCTAGCATGATAGAAACTACCAGGATATCCCAGAACAAAAACTAGATTTGGAAATTAAAAAAATATATTGTGGAGAAGAAAACCTTATACAGAACAACTTTAGTAGATTTAGTAGATGCTCACTTCATATGACCCATGACAACCCTTAGCAAAAAGATATATCTTGCATTTTCCAGCAAAACCTTCTAGAGTTTTGTACAATTTTATTTCATTGCTACCACCATGAACTGATCTCCCATGAATAGAAGCTAATACCAGCAACAGGCAATTTGAGAATTCTTCAGAGTATTTAACCACATCTCCCATAATCCATAATCACCGGCTACACTGACAAGGGCTTTTGGAGAGCAATAATCCAAAATCTATAAAGTACCAGTTTGTTTTCTATTGGGCTATCAGGACAATCAGTATGGTGTAGCGGTTAAAGCAGTGGGCTAGAAAGTGGGGGACCGTGAGTTTCAGTCCCTCCTTGACCACAAAGCCATCTGGGGGACTTTGGGTCAGTCCCCCTCTCTAAGCCTAGGAAGGAGGCAATGGCAAATCACTGCCAAGAAAACTGCAGAGATTTGTGAAGGTGGTTGCCGGGAGTCAATGCTGATTTGCAGTCCACTTAATTCCAGTGCATGAAAGTAATGAAAACACTAACTGTAATAAATGAAATAATTTGGCAGTTTGAGTAGGATCACACACACAGCAATGAGCATGATTATATTAACCATGATTTATTGAATAATGGTTGGGTTTATATAATACCCAAACTTGAAACCATGCATGTTACAGTTAAGCACAATGTGCTTACTCTCACCTTTGGCGTTTTTGCTGCTACTTACAGTTTTTGCTGCAACCTGAAATAGGTTACGATACAGCTATTCATAAAGTATATATTTTTCAATCCTCACAGCTATGCCAAATGGTCACAACTTTACTCAAGCAAGTGGCTTCTTGGTGGTTGTCACCAATAACTTGGATTCATTTCAACCACATTTATATTTAGAAGTTACACCTAAGATTTCTTTGGTGGCCCTAAAGGGGCCTCTTCTATGTCAAGAAGAGGACAAAAAGAAAGATAGTTCTCCAAACTGCTCTAAATTTCTCTGTTGTTTGGTTGGCATCACACAGAAAGCTAGGCTAAAAAAGGACTGAATTGCTTTTGATGAATTGTGGGAACCCAGCCATTTTCTTAGCATGTTGTGTAAACAGATCATCACATTAAACATTAATATGATTTATTTCTTTAAGCATAATATATTATGTGACTTCAGCAACTGTGTTTTCTTAACTTAAATTTAGGGTTATGTAGCACAACAATTTTCGATGCTTTATTCTGTTCATACCCCATCTCTGAATTACCTTCCCAAGAGAATAAAACAACACCAAATTTATTCTGTGTATCTTTCCATATGTGTATGTAACATTATAAAAATACAAGCAACACATAAGAATCAACATGCACATTCTAAAACAATGGGTGTCAAATTCAAGGCATCAAGTTGCCATCACGTGACGTTTCGTGACGTTTTTCCTTTTGTGGAGCTGGGGTGGGCGTGGCCTACACATAATGCATCTGGCCTGCAGGCCGCCAGTTTGACACCCCTGTTCTAAAAGGACTGGGTAAAGGGAGTGTAAAATCCCCCTACACTCTCCCCCAGCCTAATATTTCCAAATACTTGAATTCTCTATCAAGAGTCCACACTGACTTTATCTTTTATTTTCTTCTAGTGGTTAGTAAAAACACCCTTCTATCCTTTGTAGAATTTAGATGAAATAATTCAACTCCAGAAATGGAATTAAATAAAAACAATTTTATGTGATTGTAGATTATTTTAAAAAATGTAATCTAATTTACAATTATGCATTTCATTGCTGCCAGTTGCCTTGATTTATGCAGGAAAGATAAAAAAGCAACATAATGTAAGCTTGTTTCTGTCTATCCTTATTATAGTCAATGGAACAATTTTGTGACCATAGCTTTTGTAGAACTGCTTGGAATCAAGTGCACAGAACAGGAGAGAGAAGAGACACGAGCTTTAGTAACCAGATACAGAAAGTGGTATGACGACAGAAAGTACAGAGGTCAGAGTTTTCCCTTTTTCGCTGGATTGAGAAACTATTTGTCCTTTTATTTAAAAATAAAACTACATTAAGGCTGAAGGGTTACTGTATAGGTGTAGTTCAAAATGTGTCACCCACTTTAGCAACTGTGAAGAACAATACAAACAAAAGATGCTCCAGAAGTTAGAACATCTAAAAGTTAAGGTAACAACTAAGAGTGCATGATTAGCTGCAGTGGCACATTGGTTAGAGTGCAGTACAGCAGGCTACTTCTTCTGATCATCAGCTGCCAGCAGTTTGGCAGATCGAATCTCTCCAGGCTCAAGGTTGACTCAGCATTCCATCCTTCCAAGGTCAGTAAAATGAGGACCCAGATTGTTGGGGGCAATATGTTGACTCTGTAAACTGCTTAGAGAGGGCTGTAAAAACACTATGAAGCAGTATATAAGTCTAAGTGCTATTGCTATTGCTATTAAACCATCTCCCTCTTTTCATTTGTGTGACAGGGTTTCAATCATATAGCCACCATCTTGACTTCTTCATCTCTCCTGGGCATGCCTCTGGCCCTGAATTTGGTCTTAGGGCATTAAATTTCCCATGTCTGTCGTAAAATGATGTTCTCATTCTGTCCTACCTATATATAAAGGTTTGCTCAATCTAAGGGTTAATCAAGCATGAATATCCATTTAAACTCACACACAAAAATTACACCAGAACAAAGTGAGAGTGATCTAATCTAACAGGGTGTTGCTTAAATTGTTGCCAGGCTAATCCAAATTTACACCATCATTGAGAGATAGACAAATTTCTTGAGAGTGAGTTTGTTCCAATGACCTACATAAAATGCATTCCTAGGCACTGAATTTCACACACCATTATTCTGTCTAGCCCCACCCACCCACCGGTTCTTCCCTTGGGCTTTCTCTAGACCTCCCAATCTGATTCATTATGCTACTTTGAAGATATTACTGACTCAGTAGTTTTCTTTTCCTAATTCAAACTA